CGATCACGGAATGACACCCCCAACTATAGCACTAATAATTCCAAACACCGTGTCCCTGAGTGTCCACGAGAAGATTTCTCGTCGGACAGCGATAACGAGGAGGGCGAAAGAAAATGCGACGACGACGACGCCGGGACGGACGGGCTCGGCGACCGGGTCGAGGGGAACGAGCAAGAAGGCGACGGCGACGAGTCGGGGCACGAAAAGGGGCACGACCGCAAGGGTCAGCAGGAGCAGGTCGACGGCAATGGTGAAGAAGGGAACGAACAAGTCGACGGCAACGGCGGACAAAGCGGCGACCAGGGCGGCGACCTCGAGTCGGTGCAGGACAAGGAGGCAGTTTGCCAGGAAGGCAACAAACTTATCCGTACGGCTGACTAACCCGTTCAGACAGCACCAGCGTCGAGGCCATTATGCATGATGTCGTTGCCTTCAGCCTCGTCGTCGCCCCCTGTGTTTCACATACGTACATGACGTGGGGTTAAAGAAAAATTGTAGCATTCATTAGAATAGGTGTTTGGAAGCAGGGGCTATATGTGCGCGTTCACGGAAGGGTTGACCATGGATGCGTAAGAATTAGGGGTACTAGCGTTAGTTAATGGCCTACAGAGGGCGAGGTGAGGTTTGTGCGGACGGGTAGTACCAGAGCCTTTCGTGTTAGAGAGAGTCTCGAAGGTCCTGGCGCATGGGGTTGAAGCGCTAGAAGGCGGTTTAAAGGCGCCTACCCGGCGTCAGGCGTTGCGCCCCACACGAAAAAGACAGTGTACCCCATTTTGTGCCAAAATACGCGGGGTATACCCCATTGTGTCAATTGCCGTAAAATTAATCCAGGAAGAAACGGCTCTTGTGGACATTTTCAATAACATACAAACGCCTTTTTTTTCGTGCAGGGCGTAAGGACTTGGATTGCTATCTACGACTGCAGAGCGCGACACCAAGGAAATCTTCAAAGTTGTGACGTCATATGAAGGGAGATGTCAGGATAGACACGACGAACGTGAAAAAGGTTTTGTGTTGTCACCTTGGAGGTACGGGGAGAACGCTATCTTGGCGCTATCCTCGGTTATCACATCGGAGTGCAGGAGCTCTCCAACTGGGCGCCCGGGTCTCGTGGTGAAGCGTAACGCTGCAGCGCACACACTGCAGCAAGTATTCATGCGTACACATTGATAACAACATAGCAGGCAGTGAGGTTTAGTGCGGCGAACATCCAATACCACGATTGCATTTCCATGCAGTGAAGGACACACATGGGGTTTCGCTGAAAAAGTGTTCTTGAGCCAGGCAAGTGTCGCTAAGGTTCTGAGAAACATAACTCACGATCCCCGGGATCGTGGCGTTTGATACATCAACAGAAAGGCCTTGGGCACGGGTACTAGTAGAACCAAATTGGAGGTCGAACAATATTAGGGCACCTCATTTTCATCTAGATATCAACCATATCTCAAGTACACACAACACTACAACCAAGATGATATGTTGTATGCAACACCCGAACCCGGGGGGGGGTTAGAAATAACCCCGGTCGATCGCACACCAAAAACTCTCCGGGGCATGAATCTCTTACATTGAGGCGCAGACCAGACATATGCTACCCCAAACATGCCGGAAGTACCAAGAACAGCACACACATCCATCACATTCCACTAACACTTTACTTGAGCCCCCCTCCCCTACCTCTCCCCATTGTTTGCAATTCAAGAGCGAGCACATGCACAACTTCCGAAAGGAGGTACTGGGCTTCGCGGTAATTTCCTTCCGTAAAAATGGTGTCCCGGACGACGATAGTCGATGACTAGATTGATGGAGCACAACTAGGTCCTCGAATACCATCACGCCACTCTACACCCGCGGCTACAACCACACCCGTGCTGTACACAACACCAACCAATCAAATGCAACTAACCCACAGGCTGTTGTGGCCGTCTTCTAGCCCCTTGAACATAGAGTGGTTGCCCTTGTCGAAGATCTTCAAGCGATCTTCAAGCTCCGCGTAGAGTCGTGAAGAACCCTCGGGAGGGCCCTCAGCAACTTGTTCCAAGCACGCTGCAGACGTGGGCTCCATACGAAGCATGTTAGTCCACTGGTGATGATCGGTAGGTAAAACTGATTTCGAGGGAAATGACGTACATGCAACGGGGGAAGAACACAAGCATCGGACATACAGCAGTATGGTGAGGTGCTATAGGGACGAGGGTCTATCGACGATCCGTGAAACGTTTCTTCTCGATGTCATCGTCGTCAATCCTTCTGCACATAGGCGCATCGATCAATCGCACCAAAAACTAGCATCCGTTCTCGGATCGAGAAACCAGCCAATTTGTAGGCATAGTCTACAAATTTATGTATTTTCAGCAACAAGGAGTCTTCACACAGTACAGCAGTGGAGTTCAGAAACACACATAATTACGATCCAATGGCCACTGCATTTATTTCTGGTCGGCACTCTTAAAGCATGGTGAACAAACGGCGGTCGACATATTTTAACAGCCTCGATGTCCGCGGGCCGCGGGGATATTGAATATGAAACCTGGAACCTAAGTCTTCAGTGGATATGATGCTCCCCTCGCGACCTTGACGCCTTTTCCATTTTGGATTGGGTGCAGTTCTTCCACCACCAGAATTCATGCTCAAGTTATAACACCCCCTGCTCATCCTCCCTTTGATGTCAATCTCTCAGACGACGCCATGAACGCTGTTTCTGGTCGGCGTTCCGACTTCATGTCAGCCCAGAGGCGTGCGGCTCGGGAGGCTCTGCATGGTCTCGTCGACATCATTCATTCGCGATGGTCGTTGCGTACCCCCTTTTTTAGAGGGTGAGCCAGACCCTGAGTCAGAGCCAGAAGAAATCGTGGACGGTATTTCCTACCTGGTGGTCGACGGGAACTGCACCGAAGCAGAAAAGGTGTGCTTCATTCGTGTAAACCTGTGTTCTAGGCCACCCTCCTCTGCGATAGAGAGGGTAATACTGTATGGGTTGCCTGGTCGTTTTTGCCCACTATTGGTGCAGGAAATATGAGACCATCAAGGGCGTCGGGGACGAGGTACTTGTTGTGCTGGAGTTTGCCCAGGCATCGTTTTGTCAGCTCTCTTGTACGTCTACTCTTGCGCATTCGTTTCCAGGTGTAGTATGTATCTCACCAAGATCTAGGACGTTCACTCATGCATGACCCTCGTTTATGTATGATTCAATGATGACCCCCATCCGGAAAGCATTCCATTCAAGATCACATAATAACAAAACCGAGAGAGTGCTGATCTGCGTTGATCTGCGTTGTTGATGGAAGCGTTGCCCGGCATATTTTAGTCCGATGGGCTTCAACCCGCTCGCTTGTGCTTTTGCCTTTGGCGCCTATGTGTAGTGTGCCAGACGTACAGGCAGTTCCTGTGTCTCATGTGCCTCCTTCGCTACGGTCCGTCAATAGTATTTCAGCGTTCCGAGTCATGTCGAAAGTTAATTGCATGATGACACTGTTCCATATAGTAGAATGTAGCAGAATTTTACTTGATGTCCCATTTTTTAATAATAATCGATGTCCTATTTGTTTGTTGCCATGCGCCGTCCGTACGAAACGCTGAACTGTTCCGTCGGCGTCCCTGTAGATACTCAAGCAGCACGCCAGAACCACGTGGTCAATGATACTCGACGTAGGACACACCAGGCTGGCTGGCAGGACACTAACTTTGAGCGAAGTATACGGCGGTCACGTCTTCACGGAGGACCTCGCATATGAGGTAACGTTCGCGAGTTATGCTTTCTATTTTGGGTTGAAACGATATAGCTACGGGTGCATCAGCACGCAGGCCTCCTCTCCTACAAGCACGCAGACATCCTCTTCGCCATACAACTTAAATGCCCACTTCTATACACCTACCTGAACCAACGTATGTGAGCTCGTTGTCCCATGTGTGCGGGGGCATGAAATGCCTGAAGAAGCAGAGCTTGAGATCGCCACAGATGACGAGGTATCGGTGGTGATAGTTCCACCGCATGTGACGTACTACGTACTCATGATGGTGGCCAACATAGGAGCCAATCTGCATTCGGCCGGAGCAATGGCCGAAGTAGGGGTAAACAAACGTTAGACGTATCGACTCCTCCCGCCCAGAGTTCTTGGTCTCCGCCCCGTCGGCAAAGACGACAACACTAGCTCCCGGAAACAGAATGTCCTAACAGGTAGCAGCTGGCCGTGTTGTCCACTCGTGCGTCTAGCAATCCCTATGCTCCTCCTAGCACTGCTGATGCTTCAACGTGATCGGGCGAAAATAGGAATGTCCTGCGAGCAGCTGTCTTATCTCAGCACGCAGGCCTTCTCTCCTACAAGCACGCAGATGTTAAGGGGGACCCGATTCGCAGGGTATCCGTCGAATGACTTTTACCAGAATCCGTCGAATGACTTTTACCAGCAGGACACCGGTTCGAATCTCCTTGGGTGCAAGTTTTTTCTCCTGACTTCGACATTTTCCCATGGACACCATGTGTGTCAGTCCTGAGAACACCTCTTGGAATCGATCCTATAAAGAACCTTGTGACACTTCCATCGAATTACCCGTCCTGGCCACAAGAGGTTCCCAGTTGAGGGTAAATTCTGTGGGTGGAGAGTGTTAAGGAGGAGGACCCGATTCGCAGGGTATCCGTCGATTGCCTTTTACCAGAATCGGTACACCTTCGCACAGACATCCTCTTCGCCATATAACTTAAATGCCCACTTCTTTACTCAACTCCAATAAAATCCCATTTCAGACTCCTCCCCCCTTTGGTAGGATCCATCTGAAATTCTCGCTTTATCTCAGTTCGACTCCTCTACTCTCCACGTTACACTGGATGAGGATCAGCATGACCAGTACCGGCTGTGGGAGCGAGGGCGGTATGAAAACCCACCAAACCCTCAACCACCGGTCGCCTCGGTGGTCTAGTTGGTACCCTCGAAACCTACTAGAGGTCAGGTCAGGGGTTCGAATCCCGGCGCAAGCAAGGTTTTCTTGCAAAGTGAGTTTTTCTCTCGCTTCCGCTCCTGGCCTAGTGGATAGCGCTAGTTCGTGTGTACGCAGAGGGAAGAGAGTGCTGAACTCTTCTCGCATTAAAAATCGGAGGCAAAGTACCGTAGGAGGGGAGGGTAGAGAGGGACTCTTCTGTGTGGCCACGGGTTGGATGGAGTAAACGGCACTACTATTGCTGTGAGCGCTGATTTGAAGTGAAGACTAAAACAAAAAAAACTGAGGACATGCAGGTTTCGGAATCTTTTGTACAACATCCCATACCCTACCCGAGGTTTTGGTAACTTGTGTACACCGCATACATACCCTACCCATCAACTGGGTAACATTTATACACTTTAGAATACCTTAGGGTACGGGTATACTCTGGGTACGGGTATTCTCTACTAATCGCTGTACTGTTGCAGTTGAAGGCGTACTGCTGTTATCACCCAATTTACTCTGGACGTACTGTACTTGACCGGACGTCATGTGTTTTTTGCACCTATTTTTCGGTGCACCAGCCAGCGTAGACGAGAAGGCCACACAAATAGGAGTTTTTTCTTTCTTTCTTCGTCTTCCTTCTTATCACGAGAAGGATTCAGCCTTTCGCTTCCCTTGTCGACCGTCAAGTCGATTTTTTGTGCCCATGAATCCATCGCAATTCACGTTTGGGAACAACACAACTAAAGTTGAAGTGTACACTCGACTTGACGCCTCGACCAACCCGATGATGCTTGTTCTTCGTCCCATCTACTGTAATATTCTGGCATTCTGACCCACCTGGATGGGAAACATCTGCTGTTCATCCATTAATTCACGATGATACCAATCAATGTGTGTACAGACCAACAACACACACATACACAATTGTTGTCGCGAGACTCTTCAACAAAAATATGTCCAGTACTACAATAGCGTACACGTTTTGATTTTCAAGCGTTGGTGGTTTGATTGAGTTTTTTGGCCCCAATAAACAACCACGACCGAAACTAAAGTACAGAGTGAGTGACGCTTCATGCGCCGTCTCCCCCCTCTCCCCGCTTGACGGGAGAGGCCAAAAAACAATTGAGCAGCCCCCTTTCCACTCCCCCCCCCTCCCAAGACTTCGATAAAGTGTGCCCGCGAAGACGAAATTATGATGCCTCGTAAAAACAACGAACTACTATACTTGAGCGGGCCAAAAGCCATCCTGCTCACCCCCACGATCACACACCTACCACGGTTGGCATAGTTCGGTGTAGTATAACCCGTCACCCGAAATATTACATGCCACGAGCCTTTCGTACTTCCACCATCCTACTTTTTGGCCTCTTCCAAGAGATTTCAAGCTATCTGACAATGTGTGCCAAACACACCCACCTTAATATATCAATCATCATTCATCATCATTGTTCATCATCAGCAAATTCCTTGGTTGTTAGCCTACTACCCCGCCTATCCATGAGTCGCCACGCCGATAAAATTTACGAATCGCACAAACCTGAACGCAGTTGACGTTGTTTCACAAAAAAAAACACCGCGACCTCCATCCAGTATATCTTCTCCCCTGCTGCTGTGTTCGAGGAACAGAAATGATCTCCATTGGTCACAGGCTAGCCCAAGTACAAGCTAAAGGAAACGAAAGGCCCAGAGGAAGCTCCAACACTCCCAAATAAATTACAATATATTCATGAAAACGAAAACAAACACGGACAACGGCGGAACAAACGAAGAACAAGACCAAACACAACTCGTATAAACAAACGTAGAATAGTCCGCTGCTCTCCATCCCTCGAAACCTGAATTACGAACAAAGTACCACACAAGCAACCACCACAAACAAGCGAAACATAACCTGAACATCTATTCTCGCACCACAATGAAGCCGGGGAGAGTTCATGATTTTTTTTGTTTTCGCGGGCCATGCCAATTCCGCTCCGATGCCTGGAGGTGTGAGAAGGGGCATCCCAAAGGCTAAACAAAATTCGCCATGCGCATCAGGACAGAGGTGCGCATCGTCCTGGGGTATTCTCCAAGCCTATGTTTTTTCACAGACGACCACCATAGAGCAGTATCTCTGTGGGACACCTCTCTTGCTTTCCCCTGCTGAATGCCATCAATGATCCAACACGCGCCTCGGACCACGAAAGATTTCGCGCATGGCGTCCGATACACGCTCTCGGTCAGCAGCTATCACGTCCATCATCACACTAACGCCACCACTGCCACCCTACCACCACCATCGCCACTCATCCCTCATGCCCATCATCATCACTTTTGATCTCCATTCGCCCCTGAACCCCGACCGCCGCCCCGGTGTTGTCCTTGAACACCTTCGCCTGAATGAGGAGGTTCATGGTGTCAAGGTGCCCGCACTGCGCAGCGAATTCTACGAGCGATGTTGCAGGCAGCGGTTTCCCACCGCCTGCTTCCGAGGACGAGGAAGGTAGCAGGTCCATGTCGGCTCCACGCTCCAAGAGGAACCTACACACCTCTGTGCTTCCATGCTTCACGGCGCAAGCGAGTGCGGTAGCCCTGCATGAATGATAGGGGACGGTGTCAATTTTTTCCTCGACCCTAAAAAATCTCGGGGAAATTAGAACGCTCAAAACCACTGCTACGCGCTTGCTTCTGCCGCTCCCCGAAGACAAGAGATAACACAAAAACTGAAGCCCAGGGCGTAAGATACACTTCAACTGGTGGGATTACCGTAGTCACGTTTTTTTCCATCGAAAGCACCGTGCCGGCATGTTTGTAGCCCGCGCCGTGGACATCTTCCCACAGCAGAGCATCAAGTGTGGTACACCCAACAACAACCGACACTCACCCACATGGACGGCACGCGCAGAAGCACCACTCTTCAATTTCGCTGTATTTGTCCCTGACACACTTACCTCGAAGGCAAACAGCCGACGGTGTTCAGACCCCCGCATTCTGGCCGCCCTATCAGCACTTCCACGGCCTCCGCGTTCCCACCGCCACCCGCAAGCTGGAGCGGGGTCATGAAACGCATCCCTGCGCACGGCGCGCACGCGTCCGCGCCCGCGTCCAGCAGGGCTTGGATGACTTCCGCGCAGGCGCCCTCCATGCAGGCGAACTGCAGAGGCGTGCACCCGCGTGTGCTACCAACTTCATTGACATCGGCTCCCGCGGCGACAAGCATGCGCACCAGCGACGGGCCAAGCGTTGGGCTGGCCTTTGTGCTTGCCCCTCGGGCGACGGATTCCAGAGGGGTCATGCCGCGGAATGCCCGGAGGGTCGGGTCTGCGCCAGCCGCCAGCAGCTACGGGGGGGGGGAGGGGGTTCGGGGAATTACACAAAAAGAAGAGGTGGGGGGGCGGGGAGGGGGCAGCGTTTTGATCGAAGTGTGCTTGACACAACCGCTGTGTAGGTGGTGTGTTGTTGTTCCCACGTGCCTTCCAAAAAGAGAGTTGAACAATTTGACTCGCGGCTGTCTGACTGTTGAGGGTTAGTCAACTGGCTTGTCAAAGAGAGGGAAAAGGACGGGGGGTGGGTTAAAGCAACCGCCGATGTTTGTCAGAAAATGTTCTCTGAGGGACAGCAAGAGAAGCGACGTCAAAAACAGCGAAGGGCTTTGAGGTGTTGGCCTCGTCTCGTGGCGGCAAACGGCACCCACACAAGGAATGTTGCAGGTCCGGCAGACACAAACAAAATCGAGAGTACCACTATTTACCCCTCGTTCCGATCTTCGTTTACTCCAGGATTAATCTGAACGCGCGGCACGTTCAGCTCCCGTTGCGAGCGCGTTCCCCTACGATCTGGGCGACTCTCGCAGAGCACAGAGCAGAAACGAGACGAAACGAACCACAACCAACACCGACGGGACCTACTGCTGCCAGAAAAGTCTCACCGCCTCGACAATCCTAAGGGCTTCGTCCTCCTCTTCCTCCTCCTCCTCGCAGGCGTACCACACGGCGGCCACCAGGGGTGTCACTCCGCCGTCGTCCGCGCCGCTCACTCGGTCACGCATGTTGATCTGCCTCGGTGACAGCCTCGGCAGCAGCAGCTCCACGGCGCCCAGCCTCCCAGACATGCACGCCACCGTCAGCGGGGGTCGCAGGTGCCCGTTCCAGCAGTGGCCGGGCACAGCCCCGGCGCGGAGCAAAGCCGCCACCGTGCCGCGCGCGTTGTACTCGCACGCCACGTGGAGCGGCGTCCAGCCCTTCTCCCCGCCCGAGCCGGGCGAAGCTCCCCCGGCGAGGAGGGCCGCCAGGACACCCTCGGCCGGCATCAGTACGGCCTTGTGGAGGGCAGCTTCCCCGTTCGAATCCTTCAGGTCGGGCGAGGCGCCGGCCTCGAGCAGGGCCTTGACGACTCCCGTTTTGACGGCGCCGGTGGTGCTCGCCGTCGCCGCGTAGATCAGCGGGGTGCGGTCGGCCTCGTCTCGGCTGTTCACGTCGGCGCCGGCCCGTAGTAGGGCTTCCACGACGCCGGTGCTGGTGCCGTTGATGGCGGCGAGGTGGAGCGGGCACCTCCCCCCGTAATCCTTCGCGTCCACCATTGACGACGGGCGGCCGAACTTCCCGTCGGCGGTGTTTGCGATTGGTGCTGAGGCCACGCCCCCTGTCACGCTGCTGTATGGGGCCACTCGAGCAGCAGTAGTAGAGCCGCAAGCGCTGTTCTCGCCGTTGTTCGATAGAGCAGCTGCTAGCAAAGCCTCGGTGACTTCGACGCGACCCTTCATGGCCGACATGTGGAGAGCCGTCGAGCCGCACCGGGGGCGCCTGAGGCCCACGTTAGCCCCGGCGTCAATGAGCGCCTCCACCATGGCGACGTCAAAGCGGGTCGCCACGTGGAGCGGAGACCACCCAGACCTGTTCAGCGCGTTGGGGTCTTCCCCCACCTCCAGGAGCTTCACCACGAACCGGACGTCTTCGGTCATGATGGCCTCGTGGAGCGGCGAGTCTTCGCACTGCCCTCCTCGGCTGTCGTCGCGGCCGTCGAAGAAGGGCGCGAAGGCGGTGGTGCAGTCGTCCTCGTCGCTGTCGCGATCGCGGACGCCGCCCTCGCGGTGGTTGCCGCCCCCGCTTGAGTCGCCGCCGCCGTCGTTCGAGTCCGACGGGGCGGGGGCCCACCCTCTCTTGGCCAGGATCTCGAGCAGTCTCTCGCTGTCGCTTGATTCCGTGCACTTCGCGGCGTACAAGCGGGCTATCTCCCGCGACGGCCTCGGACCGACAAGCAGGATGCGCTTCATCAACCTCTCGTTGTCCATGGCCAGCATTGTAGGCGTGCAACTGCATCGGGGGGGGGAGAGGGGGGCACGATTTAAGTGGGTGGAAATACGTGAGGGATAGTACAGAATCGGCACTCGGCCACATGGTCATTCGTGTCTTGTCTCGCCAGTCGGTACGCCGGGGCTTGCCCAAAATCCTGTTCCGCGCGTTCGTTCTACGCGCCTCGAAAAGAGGGACAGTGAAAAACGAGATACTTCAAGGCTACAGCGGCAGGTCACTTTAGGTAGGATCGCCCACGCCTAGAGGGTGACTACCTACTTGATAGATAGCCCAACTTTTGTCAGGACAAATTCCGATCAATGCAATACTAGGGATAGCACAACCAGGGTTACGAGTTGAGGATCTCAAAAACACAAACAGGGCGTATTTCGGGTGGTACAGTTGTCACTTCACGTCTCCCCCGTTTTGACACCTCCGAGAAAGAGCGCGAGGGGATGGGCACCAACCTGAAGAAATAACAAACTTGTACAAAAATGTGGACAGAAAGTACACCAATGGACGACGTACCGAGGAGAGAAGAGCGAAAACGGGTGAAAGCCAGCGTTCCCCTGGCGTGTATTGTATGGTTTCGCGTAGAGGTTTCCCTAGACAGTAATGCTACGCACACTGATGGGGAATACTTGGGCGGAGCACGAAAGGCGTTGGCGTCAGTTAGGCCGTTGCAGATGCTAGCAGGCACGGAGAAGAGATGGTAATGGTTTTTAGCGTGAGGGCCACAGCAACAGTAACAACAACGTGTTTCAACTCACAACACTCCGAGTAAAACAGATTTCACGTCGCCTCTCGATCGCCAAAGAAAAACGGAAATTACGAGTGAGCTATACAGCCGGACCACCACCTCTCAACCACCAAGGACAGACCTGCACTCGTCCAGGCTGTGCACGTTAGCCCCCGCCAGGAGCAGCAGGTGCGCCATGATGTTGCTGAGGCCGTTCACGTGCGTACCGTTGCAGGCGTGGTGCAAGGGCGTCCTGCCGAACCAATCACGCGCCTCGAGATTCGCCCGAGCGGCCACGAGCAACTTCACGGCGTCGGCTTGACCGTTCTGAACCGCGAGGTGCAAAGCCGTTCTCTTCGAGCGATCCACGGCATCGACTCGTGCCCCGAGCTCGAGAAGCTGGTAGGGAGAGAAACAGAGTATGGGGGGGGGAGGGGGCGGCGTAGAAAGAGGCAACGGGTAGAAACAGGGAAAGAGAAGGGGCGGGCAAAAGTTGGGAGGAGATGGACAACGGGGCACGGTGTTTGCAAGTGTTTGGGGTAACCGGAGCAAGGGCTTGTGTTTGAGACGCGCCCGGTTTTGTTGTCTCCAAACTACAGAGACTCTGCAAACTCCGCAAGAGACCATATTCACAAAGTCGGGATGTTCGCGCCGGGCCTAGTTTAGTATCGCATTGCCAAGGAAGTCGCGTCTTACCAGGCAAGGCACTACAACAACAAGGATAGCGGTCTGCCGGTCGGTCCCGTTGCGACGGTTTTCACCAATACGCTGAGCAGAACAGCGGAAGTGCTTCTGAGTGTTTTGAACAATAAAGGTAGCCGTGCCCTCCTGTGCGAAAAAGAATTTAAGGATTTTATAAGAGTCTCTCAAGCGGTAGGAAGTAGGATGACAGCCGTACCGAATGCATCGCGGCGACGTGTCCGTAGCCAGCCCCGAGGTGGAGCGGAGGGAAATGACCCATGTCCGGCCCACAAGCCGATAAATCGGGACAGCGTGACGCGCAGGCGAAGATGACGTCTGCAAACACGCGCCGATGTTCAACAAGGCACACATGATGTATTATCAGCAGCTGGATTTCATATGCGTGTAACGTGCAAGATACAGAAGCATGCATGCAACTTCATCAGGTACTTTTGTAACGCCGGGTTCACCTTGTACGGTATTCTTTCAACCCCCGGTGTTCTTCTATTAGTATATTCATGCCGTGCCACCACACTACCACTGATCCCAGAGGTCAACTTAACACGGACTGTTGGTACAAACGCGTGAGTATGGGTAGCAGCGACATGCCTGAATGAGTTGCGGGTGTCGGGTCACCTCATCCAACACGCACCTACTCGTCAATCTGGATAGCAAGGCCGTTGTTACGCCAAGGCGAGTACCTCACCGTTTCCTTGCGGTCGAATCCCTTGTCGTCTTGCCTACCGGTGCGTGCTCCACGGCACGCTTCGACAGCCACCTACTCAATGTACCCGTAGGTATTTCTTCGAGGCGAGACGCTCGGGTGAGCTCGTACAGTCGGTTGCTCCTTTCACCCCCCCTCTGGTCGTAAAACGTTCCACTTCTTGCCTCGTTTGTCCTTTCACCAGAAGCCTGCCTGCCCTGTCTACGATACTCTTACGCGCCCCCAACTCCCATCACTGCTTACCTAGAGAACACTTAATTGACCAGCAACGGTCGGTAATCTCCATGTGATTGCTTTCGCGCTTTCAAGTGTTTGAGGTGACGGAGTAATTTCTCGAAGGTACCAGGTTTGAGCTTGCTTTGGGAACATGAACATCACCTTATCTCCTGCTCAGTATGGCCTATACACTGCTGCTACCTTGAGACTCTAATCACGCGTAGGGGCTGAATAGACTTCAAGACTGTAAATAGCCTACAGCAGGATAGTAGACATACTGTAGACCACATATGTAGCCTATTTAGTCTATGTAGAGCAGTAGGCTCTGCAATGACCTACCAACCGACCGCCGCTGCTTAGTATATGTGGTCTACAGTATGGTACCGCCCGTTGTGCGGGTATAAAGAGCTGTTCCGGTGGAGGGAGACAAAAGAGCGGGGAGGAGAGAGAGAGAGTGCAGAAAAGAATAGTCTCCGCCGCATATTCCACTCTCACCGAAGGGCTACTGTGTACCACACACACTACACTATGCATACATGTAAGAAGCAGTTCGGCTGATGTTCACCTGGTTCTTGGTTTGTCTGGACGGCCCGACACAAAAGGTGCAGCGCTTCCAGGCTGCCACGATTCATTCCCCAAGCGAAATCACCAATCATCCCTTTCGACGGCCTCCTCGTGGTAGCAGCCCTCCTGCGCATGATTGAATCTCAAAGGTCGGAAGGTCTGGCGGTGTGCGGTGCAACTACCCCTCCCTGTTCCGCAGCGTGGGTGTCTTCGTGTCTTCACAAAGTCGCACCTGTTCGTTCTAGACGGATCGGTCTAACGAACGATGCCTGCTCCTCCTGGGTATCTCAAGAGCACGGCACCTGCCCTTCGTGTTGAATGTTTCGTAGCTGCGTAGGTGATGCGCCGAGAGGAGAAGGAGGAGTGGTGGTAAAGCGATTGGGTTGTAGAAAAGGGGGGGCGGAGTGTAGAGAATGAGAGGGGTGGCGGGGTGATCCAAACTCCAAACGGCGGAGAGTTTTGAATCTGATCTCTGATCTCGGAGTCTGGGTGTCGGAGAACAAAACAAATACATCCCCATGACCTGGAGTCCCCGTGTGAACCCCCCGGTCCCTGCATGACATTATCAGCAACAAGCTTGTCAAAATGATATTGCTCTTGGTTCGCCTGCCCTGGCTTCATCTCCAAACATGTTCGTTCCCGGGCCCCATAATCCGTCCTTGACCCTTAAATATATTTTACGTGACTGGGTTAATTTGATTTTTTTTTTTCCCAACAAACTGCCGCTCTGCGGTCAAAGATCTAGAGCATGCGTGTACACCCATTAAATCACGGCGGCACGGATGGTGCAGCTGTGGGTCCATGTGTGGGGCTCACAGGAATGGGGACGCGGTACATGTAAGGGTGACGAACAGGAGTACAGCAGTAGTACTGCTGTACAGCAGTAGCAGTTATGCGGAGAGAAATAGACTACAGCAGCAGCAGCAGCATATGTAGTTTCTGAGCAGGTGTGCATGCCTGTCTCCGACAGCAACCGTCCGCACAGAGGATGTACCTGTGCAAGCAATACCTGTTGGTACATCTTCTCCACCTCATCCTTGGACAGAGCATAGGGCAAGCGCATGTATATGCTAGCGGCGCTAGATGCGAAGACGCTGACGGGAAAACCGCCTCACAGCAGCGCCAGATCGACGAAAAAAACGGCCCTCTCATCAGAGAATCGAGACCATCATCCACTATCGCACAAAATGCATCAAAAAATACTATTCTGTACTACAAATAGAGAGCTGTGATCGGAGCTGTGATCGGAGCTGCTGTAGTCCCGAAAACCCTTCTTGCCTTTGAGCGAAATTTTGCACACAGCAGACGAAGCACCCTCCACTCCCAATACTGGGAACCACACGCAACGCAATCACAACAACATCAAGCACCGAGGCAGTACGTTAGGATCGGCTCCGGTGTGCGCTTTCTCTGCTCTCCCCCGCGGATGCGGCACCGGGTTGATCACATGTTCAGGGTGCTGTAGTCTATGTACTCTCCCGTCACGGTGGTATTTTGCGTTTGAATCTTACAGTACCGGTAGGCACAGTAGATTGGATCTGGAAAGGATATATATCTGCCTCACGTCAGAGAGATTAGGCATGGGTGAATAGTTTTGTACTATGTGAGTCCTGTGCGCGTTGCTGATAAGCGTGCTTTGGGGGTCTCCCTGCTGGTCTCTATGTATGTAGACTATGTTCCGAGGCACAACGGCGAGATCTTTCGGCACGCAAACAAAGTGAGTGATCGGAGCTGAGAACGGAGCTGAATCGGCCTGTTGTCACGTAAGGGTTAAAATAACAGCCCCGGGGTAGCCCCGGCCTCGTCTCAAGTCTATTTTATCTTGGCCAAGATAAGGGCGAATAGGGGCTTGGCCAGGGGAAGAGGGAGAACGTCTGTTTGTTCGTGCGGAGCTGGCGCTAGTTAGTCGGATGTAATTTATCACGGGGAAGAAAAAAAGCAGCAACCAACATCATCATCTGATTCAGCAGAGGACACACACACACGCGAAAACAAACCCGCTCGTTCTACCTCTGCGCAGAGCGCGAATGGTTTTGTCTCTGACTCGGTCTCACTTCTTAAAGAGAGACACGAGGTGTATGAACCTGTACCATCGCAACCGGGTGTGCCAGACTTTTAGGACTTCCTGCGGGAGAACCTCTCGCCTGAGACACGGTGTATGTCTCAATAAGAAGAGGTTTCACCGATTAGTTTCCGGGCAGTCGCTGCAACTCCTTGTGACTTAATCGTGTTGCAACCAAGCGCAACGTATCCGAAGAAAGAATTAACTACCACGGTACACCAGTAGACTTTCCACCTGCCTTCTGCCATGCAGAAGACAAGGCGGCGTCGCAAGGAAGCCGACGGGCGTCCACTTCTACACCCCCACTTCTTTTGCGTACTGACGACCGTTCCGTCCGTTGTCCGCAACTCCAAAACTTCAACGACGTGTGGCAAGTCGCGTGCATTGTGGTGGCGTCGCGCAACCTTACCATCCATGTGATCGCTTACGAAGTACACCTTGCAAACTTGAGCCATGTAAATTTAGCGTGAAACGTGCAGAGAGCTTGTATCACGTGGGTTAGCGACAAGGATCCGCGGCAACTTCAGGCGTTTAAATACGCACACGACCCACATCATCAGTAGTAGTAGTAGCAGAAGATGACGCTAACATAATCGATTGCAGACACCTGCCTGCCTTATGGAATACCAACGCTTGTTTGTCTTTTTCTATGCCTCGTTCGTTTTCATCATGCTCTTCTTCCATCTTTAGGGTCGTTGTCTCAGCCCGTCTACGTAGTCTCAAGCCTGGTAGGGAACCCGGGCCAAACAGAAGGGCTTCTCCCTCTGAGTGCGACAGCGGAAACAGCATAGACATTCAACGGGTTCAAGGTCGATCCCGTCCTCCCAACCTCCTCAAACCAACCTTCATAGATTGTGACATGTGCCCAACCTTCCCCTCTGGCCAGCGCGCCCTCATGAGAGAACGCAAAATGAAAACAAAACGAATCCCGTCCTTCTAGCTACGGAGATGTTTTGCTCCGGTCCAGTCGAGCCAGATCAAAACGAACACTTCCTTATATCTGGCTAATCAGCGCCGCGTTGTAACCCCCATTCTCTGCAACAGTTCCAGAGCATTACATACCGTATTCTACGGCATCCCCCCCCCCCCTTCAGAAAACAAAAGCATCGCACCCACTAGTCAGCGCCGTGTTGTATCCCTTACTAACCCCCCATTTTTCTGCAGCAGGTCAGAGCATTACATACCGTATTCTACGGTACCCGCCCCCCCCCCCCCCCATTCGGAAAACTGAAGCATCGCACCCGGCAAGAGCGTCAACGGGATGGCATTTCTATCCCTGTAATGCTGATTGCTTAGGCAAAGTATGGCGACTCAGATATATGCATGGTTCCGCAACAGGCTAACCAGTATGGGCGCGCACTCACTGGCAAGGTGGTGACGAGATGGCAACGTAGTGCTAACGCCTCCACCAAGCCCAACCTCGTTGGGTATCTGAGGAGGGGAAACGCTACAGCACATACACCAAACAAGCCTCCGCAAGCCGCCAACAGTCGACTTCAACATGAACAGAACGAAACGCTGCTCGAACTCATTGCCAATATTTTTAAAAAGGATTAACCCCTTCGTTCTTACATACCCGCCTGTTTTAAGTTGCCTCTCCGTGACAAACGGGGGGAGGGGGAGCTCAAGCTTCGTGCGAAAGTGTAGTCAGCAACAGCTATCTGCATTCGCAGCGTGATACACTGCCCGCAGGCGAGGGCCGGAGAAACAACCGACGCGACGTAGAGTAGGCAAACAAACACGGCTAAAGCTAACGCGCTCGAGATTTTCCTCACACCAGAGAAATAATGCAAAACCACCAGCCACCTCGTTCAATAATCGAAGTACGCCGTCCACTGTCGGTGTGGAATTCACCCAGACCTTCTTCCGGGGAGGCATTGCCCCACGGGCAATGCCGGAGTCATTCATGCTGTATTTCGAATGCACAATCAACAACCCGTCAGTTGCAGTTGCAGCAGCAGCAGTAGCGGCGGCAGCGGCAGCAGATCACTGACAGGGGGCTTCGTCGTTGACTCACGCCCCCGCGGTACCCGCTTTCTCCTTCCGCTGCTTCTCCTCCGCCTCTTCCCTGAACATTTTGGCCTGAATGAGGAGGTTCATCGAGTCGAGGCTTCCGGCAAAAGCAGCGTACTCGATCATGGAACTCTTGGACGGCGTTCCATCATCTTCGTTAGGCATCATGTCCATGTCGGCTCCTTCTTCCAAAAGAAACCTCACCACCTCCGTCATGTTGTTCTGAACGGCCAGGTACAGAATGGTGGCTCTGACAATAACGGTGGGAACGAGAAACGGGGAGGGGCAGGGACGACACGTCAATCTTCAATACTTGACATGACAGCGCCTCTTCCCAGTAGAGATAGAGAAGGAAATTTCTGGAAATTACGCAGTTACACTAAGCCACCTCTTGTGTCCGCAAAACCGTGCTAGGCACTGGTTTTGAAATTGCGATTTGAAGAGGCAGAGAACGGCGGGGGTGAGCATACAAATATGTTTTACCTACATGCAAGATATGGTGGCGAAGGCATTGCCCACGATGTAGAGTTCGTGAAATTGACATATAGACCATGAGTCGCGAAATAAAATGGAGCAACGGTGACTCGCGTCCACCAACATCGAATACTCCTGGATACCCTGCTTCGCAGCAGCGGCAGCAACACTATGAACAATGCACGCAACGAGCGCCCCCGAAGTGGAGAGCGGGGCAGGCCCCAACCATAGGATTCACAGCTACCCCCCCGATCTTCCCGCCTGCATCTGTATCAATCTTGTGGCCCTGCTTTCTCTCCGCCAGCACTTCCCCGTACTTGACCTGTCGTTCGGCGGCGGAGCCACGGCATTGAGACCTCCCGAGTTTCGTAGCCCCATCAGGAGCCGGATGGCTCCAATATTCCCCCCGAAACCTGCGGCCAGGTGGAGCGGGGCCAAGGAGCTGACAGAGACGCACGGCACGTCCACGTCGGCCCCGAGATCCAATAGCTCCTGGATCACCTCCGCGCAGGCGCCTTCTATGCACGCCGCGTGCAGAGGGCTATATGCGGAGGCGAAAGTCATATCGTTGATATCGGCTCCGCCGGCGACAAGCGCTCGCACCACTCGTGGGCCGATCGTGGGGTGCGCGGCGATGCGGTCGACCGCGACGCCCTCCAGCTTTAGGATGAGGGCCGTGAATATCGCAGACACCCCATTACCTGATTTCTGCATGTGCAGATCTGCGCCGTTCTTCAGTAGCTGTTCGTTGTAGGGGTGCAAATCGGGGGGCGGTGCAATGCACACCAAGCACGAGGGGGAAACGGTGAGCTTCGAGCGAGACGGTATTGAGTTCTAAGGCGCGCACGGCGAGGAATACGGTAGTTGCTCCATGACACTTGCATCAACGCGCCTACAACCAAAAACATATACTGTACTTCGTACTTGTGTTCAAGAAACTGTAACTAGAACGCGCACGGAGATGCCGACACGACAGCGCTAAAGTACAGAAATGATGAGCGCGTTTGTTGGCAGAGAGCGAGCACCAGAGCACATGTCACGACGCCTCCAGAGGCATGTTCACGTGCGCCCCGTCTACCGGAAGCAACGGCTTGCTCGCAAAACTGAGGAAATGTCGAAGGTGACACAAGATTTAAACACGGGACATCGTTTTCGCGACCCGGTGTGAAAGGACGCGTTGCCACCCTGTCCGTTGGTTAGTTGGCGCGCAGGCATCGCATTGGCTGCATGTGGGTAACACACAAGGCATATGATGAGGTCTATAAGGGAAAAATACAAGACACCGACCGCCACAAACTGAAACTGCGAGTCGCCCCGACTATGTATGTACGTGTTCTCTTAAGTTCAATGGGCGTTATGCCCTGGTGGTGCAATTGGGTGTGATTTCGTCGGCGACATGAGATTCATCAAAAAGGCACCCTCGACCAGCTCCCGTTGGTAGTCCACGTTTCGGCGACGAAACTAAACTACAAGCACATTCAAGGACCAGAAAAAACTCACCGCTTCCACGATATCCACTATTTCCATCTTCGGGGGTTCGCATGTTATGGCGGCCGAGAGCGGAGTCTCTGCGCCCGAATCAGTGCTGCTGCGCATGTTGACCTGCCTTTCCGACAGGTGGGGAAGAAGCAACCGCACCGCACTGAGGTTTCCTCGCTTGCACGCCACCAGAAGCGGAGTTTGCAGCGACTCGTTCCAGCAATGCCCCGGCAGAGCCTTGGCGCGGAGCAAGGCTTCCACCGTCCCAGGCGCATCGTACTCGCATGCGGTGTGGAGAGGCGTGAAACCCTGCTCGCCACCCAGGCCCGGCGACGCTCCCGCATCTAGGAGAGCTTCCATGATCGCCCCGGCCGGCCTCTTGACGGCCTGTCGCAGGGGGGTATATCCGAAACGATCCCTGTCGTTGCAAGAGGCGCCGGCCTTGAGTAGGGTCTTCACGGCTTCAACGTGGTTCGCCGATACCGCCCTGAAAAGGGCTGTCCGTTTGTGGTTGTCAACTTTGTCCACAAGGATGCCCGTGGTCCGGATCAACGCTTCCACGATGTCGTCGCGGCCCATTGTGGCTGCCAAGTGCAGCGCGGTCCCTCCATCAGTGCCGACGGCGTTAACATTCCTAACCGTGCTAAGCAGTCCTTCCACCGCGCTCAGGTTTTTGCTCCGGACTGCATCGTGTAACGTGTAGGTCTGGCCAGGGACGGGATTCCCAGTAGAAGGGTACTCCGAACCCGTGGGCGGCACCGCCCTCAATACCTCGTTGATATCCCGCGAGCGCTCAGCAGTTTCCGTCCTCGCATCGTCTGGAGCACTACGGCCCCAACCTGCGTTGACGAGCAGCTCGAGCACGACCTCGTTTCCCTTGCTGCCTTCGAGATGTTTCATGCACATCTCGACAACCGGCGCCGGCGGCTTCTCGCCCAATTTCAGCATCTGCGCCAAGATCATGCACTTCTGGCTTCGAAGAGCGAGTATCAAGGGCGTCTCGTTTGGATCATCAGGGCTCCCCTTGTTCACATCTGCGCCTCTATTTATCAGCGCCACCGCCATGTCGGCATAGACAATTTCGATGTCCTCTTCGTCGGGTTCAATAGCCTTTCCCACGCACAGGTAGAGGGGGGTCTGTCCAGCGCGGTTGAGGACGTCAACCTCAAGTTCGTCTTGCGTCAACAGCGGTTTCACAAGAGCCAAGCTCCGCGATCCCACCGCCTCATGAAGAGCTGTGGACATGATGTGCTCGCCCGACATACTATTGACGTCCACCCCCATACGGAGCATCTGGAACGGTTTTGAAGCAACGAGTCAAGGAGACATGCGACCAAGATGTCGATTGGGAGCATGACATTTACATTTACGACGAGCTCTGATAAGTCCCCAAGTTTTATCCCACTATTTATGCATATGACAAATAGAAAAAGGTATGATGCTTGACAGAACGCATTTTCGACGGGGGTCATGAGCCTCGGAAAAACTCTACCCGATTCAAAAGGCGTGATCTACAGTCATCGCCATTGGGCGATACGGCGGCTTCGCGGCCAACATCCGTGGCCATTCCCCCTCGTGCCCAAAGCGGCACACGTCAGGGCAGCGCCTAACATAATTGTAGCTCGCGTGGATACATTTTCGGGGAGGGACCGCCTACTTAACGCAAAGTGCGCGAAATTGTAGGGCATAAGATGCAGCCCTCTCACTACTCCCGGGATAAACATGTTTGTCTTGCGAACGTTCACATCCCTCAACGTGCCCCCTGTTGAAAAGGTTGGTCGGTTTGCTCGCAGCGTCGAGAAATGTATCGGTGAATTCGGCCGGAAGTATTATGCATAGCACAATCGACAACACTGTTGAAGGCAAGAGAATATGGTTGCAGCGGGGCTGGGACCTACTATTTGCCAGGAGGGCACAACATGTGCGAAGGGGAATGGCGATATGATACACAAGAAGCATAGGTGTTACGCATTTCACTGAAACTCTACGATGCTGCTACCGTTTCAGTTTTGTGCAGCAGCACGCTGACCCGTACTGCGTCCGTGTGATGCAAACAAGTTCCCCATCAACTAGACAGAGGAGTCCAGTGGTTTATGATCTCCATTCAGAGGACATGAAAGGCCTGTAGATGGGAAGAGTAACTAGCAGACCGTGAAAACTTGCTAACGAACTCCTTCCGCTGTTTACAGTATGGGAAATAAAAATACACCGACGTATCTCGTGGTTCACCTCTTTCACCCCAGGAAGATGTGCGTTTTGAACCGCAATTTGGAGGGCCGGAAGTCCGAATAGCGACCTAGCCGAGAGGTCAGTGCACCGTTCGCCAATCTTGTTGATGACATCTGCAAACATGTTCCGCGCCGAGGGAGAAAACGACGCAACAGCAGCGTAGAAACAGCGTTTGGACCATGCACCACGGTCTCGCGGCGTAGGGGTGCGAGGGTATATACCGTAAAAATACTAAACATTTTCAGTCTCGTTTTTTCCTGCCTGATCTTGAGGCCAAAATGATCAAAACGGACTGCCATACTTTAAAGTCTCATTTTAGGTTCTTACACGCTCCTGGTGTAGAGAAAGCCCACACGTAAATGAGCGACCACAGGTACGCTCCAAGTCAAGACGAGTACATGGACCTCTCTCAGACAGATTGAATTGAACCACACGAATGTTGCCCACAAAGCAAGAGTAAAACAGCCGCAGTAGTCCCCACCGCAATACGTTCGAGTCGTGGACAACGGGTGGTATATTCAAAGAATATGGAGCAACAGCGGCAGCAACGAACAACGCACGAATATATTTTGTGCAACACACTTGTCGTCAAACACGCCAAACGGCGGCCAACTAGAGATAGGGGTCTGCACTGAAACACGAAAGAAACTCGCTTGGACGGGTCCCTGAGGAACACGGTGATATCGAACAATACGTCCAGTGTCTGTTGCCCTTTAAAAGCAATATTTTTGGACACGAAGTAGCTCACAAGAACGTTGGGGGCACATACAAACACATATCCCCCACAGAGCACCAAAGGCAAAGCAGCACAGCAATAGCACACCAGGCCCCTAGTTCCCAAACCGGTTCGCACGGGGTATCACAGGACAGCTGAATTTCGCAAGAATTTAGGAATACCGTCAAACCTCCATTAAGGACACCCCCTTGGCTAACGACACGTGTTCTTCAAGAAGCATAGGACACCGAAGAATCGGTAGAGGCTTTCGCAAAACCAGAAACAAGGTATAAAACCCCCGCCCCCCTTGAACATACTATGCTTGCACACCCGCAGCCAGCGGGCTGCTGTCTGTGAGTGGGCACAGCAGCATGGACAATTCTCTCGCCTACTGGCGGTTCGTCTGCGTCCAGCATGACCACGTATGAAGAAATCGACATGGCAACAAAAGTATGTAGAGCGCCGAGGGCGTGCATCGTATCGTCAGTAGTTGGGTCCAAGTCCACTTCCTTTTTGAGGAACTTCGCTAGCGAACGGAACGGATGACGAAGACAGCGAAAACCGGAATACTAGTAGTTCTTTTGAAAACTGTGCATTCCTTCATTGATGAGACTCAAGTACAGAGTGCAGCGAAGTAGGGTGGGGGGTGGGGGGGATGCACTGCAAGTACCTCAATCGCGATGTGTGGACAGTACCAGATGCGGTACCGCCGTGCCAGCCCAAAAGGCAAACTTTTGCTTGGATGAATCTCCTGTAGCCCTATCCCACATTCTATCCCACAGTCCGCTAATCGTGCTGGAGGTCATCACTCTCACGCATCCAATAGATAGGGCCGTTTCACAAACGTTCAAAATCAACACCTTAAGGGTAAACCAAGTTCGACAACCACGAGCTGCTCATCGCGCCCTGTCCACGTACACTATGCATCCTGTCCTTTCGCGGATTCCTACCCCCCTGCAAAAGGCGCATCATTTTAAGAACTAAACTCTTCCATCGCCCGGTGAGTTGCCCTCCCTTGAACCTCTAGGACCCTTCCCTCCGTTGACCCTTTAAGCACCGGAAGCCCAAATAGGGACACGTTTGGGGACACAGCAATAAATCTGTTTATCGCAACGTAGTCGTCATTATGCTCCGCTGTGTGAAACGCGCGGGGGAGAACTTGGTCTACCATGCTTGGGTGAGCTGGTACGCTATGTGATGCACTGCTGTGTGATGCCTATGTGCCTCTCCTCGGCCTCAAACTTGCTGTACACATATCTCCCAAGCCGGCGTCCCCTTGTTGGACCAAAATCCTGTAAGCCTCGTGCAACGCGTATGTGAGTATATAGGTTAATCCATGCCGTCGGTAGTGTGCACATCAAATCTTAATATTTTCTCTTCAATTGTGACAAAAGCATCACTATTGGGGTGCCAATAGTGGTAAAATGCCACCATAACGGATTAGTGGTACACTGCCCTGAATAGTGGCATACCCTCGCATCCTTACGGGTAATGCCCGTCTGCCCGTAGGTGAAGTACAATCGGGCTGCTTTGTATTCATATGCGTTGATGCACATGTACCTCCTGCATTTTGCCGTCCCAAGAGATATCTCGACAGCAGCATCTCCAATAAATACATTCGAGAGGCCAAAACACTACACCACGCAAAGTTGGCCGGGACGCAGAATAGTGAAGGGTCGGTTCGACATACAGTCCTGCTGTACGCATGGCGTACCTGGAGCTGCCTTGCTCTTGCAGGCCCACCCTAGCAACCTTAGCGCGTCGCGCTCGTTGCGTTGGTCCAACTGAGAAAAAGAAATCCCGAAATTATCCATGTCCGCAAGCATTCTCTCGATGAAATGAGTCTCTTCCGGGTCCTCGTCCTCCTCGTACTCGTCGTCCTCGTCCTCCTCCTCCTCTTCTTCTTCCTGCGGCTGCTCCTGCTGCTGCTGTACATCGTTCTGTGCCTGCTCCTCCTGCTGGCTGGAGCCTCCCCACCCCCTAAAACTCCACATGTTTCTCTGCCTTGTTTTGGCTTTCAGAGCTTCGCGAAGATGCTTTAGGAGGGATTTACAACGGGGCCGTCGACGTGATATTCTCTCGTTGTCACCTAAGTGCCGTATGTGTTCCGGTTGAATGGCAGATGGCAGCAGGGGCAAAGGATGGGCTGTGCTATGTGGTGCTAGACTGTCAACTTGACTCACGGCGTGTGCGCTGTCCGGCCGGGCGCCGGTCGTGCATACGCCAAAGCTGGCGAGATAAAAAGGTTCTCCAGCTGGAAAACGCCTCCCAGAACCACACCCTACAACGCCTCATTTGAATTGAACGGGTCACACCGCCGCAGCAACAACGGCTGCATCCGCTTGAGACCTATGGCAGCAGTAGCCGCGCACGTAAAACAGCAGCAGACAACCCACATGGACATGGATGATGTGGACGACGTAGTTTGGAAATGTTGCAGTGTAATCGAGGTACATTGATTTGCCAGTGCTAGTGTACCGTATACGACACAAGATAACACACCCCCTCGACCGATTTTGAAAGCTCGATTTATCAACAGCAGAAAGAGTCGCAGCGCCGAAAACGGGGGCGTTGAAGCTGTCTGGTCGAGAGCTCTCCGAAAGTGTATCGTTTCGTTTATGCATCTTCTTCGTCGTGGCGTAGTCGAGCTTTGAAAATCGGTCCAGGGGGTGTCATCTTGTGTCGTATACGGTAGTCGAGGACGTGTCTTAGTGTTGTTTTAGGGGGGGGAGAGCGTGGTGGTGCGGCGCGGATGTCATCCCAAATGGTCGCGGTTTTTGTGGTGGTCCGTGCAGCTGCTGCCTCCGTGTTGTGCGGACGGTCGACGTAGAGAAGAAAAGTTGGTTTGTATCATATGATTCTTGGAGCATCATGACAACTGCCAACATGAACACGCGAGTACTTTCAAAACCGGAGAGCTCTAGGGAAACCGCATAAAATGTCAACGGGCAAAGAAGATACACCATCACGACGCCGAATCAAGGCTGCAACTTAATTCCAATGAGTGGTCATGATAAAGGGACCAGCGGTACTCTCATCCAACGCGCAAAAAAAAACTCAAAACATATCGGACACGGGGAAGAACGAAGACTCCGCGGGGTCGAGAGACTCTTGCCCCTCCACCCCTGCCAACCGGCAATGGTTTTCCAAGCGAATCCCCCTTCTCCTTGCTGCGGCGGGCCGGCTACCGAAGGAAATAATACCAATCCGACACAACAGATGCTGTTGGCAGACCCCCCAACACACGCAACACACATCCACACGCGCGCGCAAACCAACACGCGCCAACGGTAACAAAGCGAATGCAACGCCGAGTAAGGCATCGGCAACACGCTTTACATTTTCCTGACGTGTCCTACAGGTAAACGGTCTCCTCCACTACGGCGCACTACTACTTTTGTGTCGTTTGCTGGGCCCCGTTTGCTTCTTACGGGGCGGTGGTTGCAGACGCCCCAACTGAACAAGATGGGCGGTCGTCTGGAACGGTGGAGAAGCCTGCCCCCCCCCGCGACGAGAAACGTCCACGTTGTCCAGGGCACGAAACGGCAACGCCAAGCCCTCGGACGTGTGCGCCCCGTTGACGGGTGCCGCCTGGAAGCCGATAGGCGCGGCGCTGGTGGTGTCCGATCCTGCCGGAGGGTGGGACGCTCGGCGAACCCCCGTGGTACCGCTCGGCGAACCCGTAGCGAAACCAGCAGAGTTTACGCCCCCCCCTGCGCGCCCGTGGCCTGTCCCTCCGCCCCTGCCACCGCTTCGCCGGCCGCCGTTTCCACCGCCACCGCTTCCCTGGCTGCTGCTTCCAGGGTCACCCTTTTCCCCTGCCCGTCCTCTTCCGGTAGACCCCTTTCCCCCCCGGCCGCGCCCCCCCCGACCAGGGTCCCCGGCGTCTCCCTGCGGCAGGGCAGGGGTGGGCCGGGGGAGAGTTCCCGTGAACACCCGGCTCGTTGACTCGTCTCGTAACGACCGCTTCTCCACCTCGATTTGTTGCTTGGCGTGAAGCTTCATGGACTCCATCAAGCGTTGGATGCTCGCCACAGACGGGACCTCTTTGAACATACCACCCAGCTCCTTCCCTAAGGCGACGCCGTTGGCGTACGCGTAGGCCGACAAGTTGGGTCCGGAGTGGGACGACACGATCGGACTGGTGTCGACGGGCGGCATCTGTCCGGTAGGCCCCGCAGGTCCCGTCAGCCCCGCAGCTCCGGTCGATAGCTTGGCAGGCTTAGCGGCCAGCGCTGCCATCGTCCATGACGTCTCACTGTCACGCCACCTTGGTGAAATGGTTGCTCCGTTGAATTGGGAGGCACGTTAGTACCACAAGCCCTTGATGGCGTGCGGGCAAAGTAGCCCGTAGACGAGCTGCCGCAGGCACGTGCAGAGGAAGAAGCCGTCCGGTCCAAGGGGGACGAGGTGACCGCACTCGGACGCCGTAGACATCGGTGTGATGCGCACCACCGTGTGGACGTTCTGGTCACGAAGTAATTCCGCGAAGTGAGGCACGGATGTGCGGGACACCATGGAGACACCAGCGGCTTCGGACGTCGGTATTGAAGGGTCCACCAACTTTCCGGAGCCGGTGTCGTACGTGAGGTTCGCCTTCGTCGGGTTTGCCACCAACTCCTCGAACAGTTTCCGCGCCGCTTTTTCGTCACGCACGACAGGTATCGCTTCGTAACTGAGAGCCCCGAGGATTTGTGTTTCAGTGTCCTGCCAACACGGCATGCCCATGGGTAAGGGCGGTGTGCGACAGGGGGGGGGGGGGGTTCGGGAGGGAAGTCAGGTTCGGCATTGACATGAATACCAGCAGCGTCGTTGGTGCTGCCCACAAAGACTGATCGCCTTCCACAACTCGAAGGCAAGTACAACTCCATTACATAACCTTGTGCTATACAAGCGGGCACGCAGAAGTCGGGTTGGCGAGTGAAGGAAATGGGGGGAAAAGACACAACTCATGGCCGCGTCGCTGTGACTTTCCTTGGTCAGGCACCGCATCTGAGGGGGGTACGGTTAGGTGTAATGGGGGAGAAAAAATCTGGGTCCGTCCATCGCCGCAAGCGAAGGCCGCCACAACTAACCTCCGTGGCGTGCTGGCTGCACTGCTCGTACTTCACTGCGTTCAGGACGAAGTTGAACGTTCGCAGGTGCTTGGTCCTGAAGCTTTCCACATACGAGTGTCCCTGCACAGCCACTCGGGCGACCGTTCCTCCCAGGTTTCGTCTAGCAAGCACGGGGCACAACGAGCAGAGCACTAAACTTGTCAACCAAACGCGCCACCACACAACATGATGTAGAAATGCCGGCGACTATTAATGTATTGTTACTCTGGTTGTGTTTTGTCCCCGTCATTGCAAAGGATCTCTGGTGTGGGCCGCCTGGGAAGCCTCGAGTCCGTCGTGCATACGCAGTACCGACGACATACCACCTCGCGAACGTTGAGTTGACCTCATCCACATGCAACGGGCGTGCTTCCGCGTGGTTGGTCAATTGCTCTTTGTTGTCGAGAGGCGACCTACGAGACACGCACAAAAATTCAAATGCTACCACCTTCAAATGCTACCACCTTCCTTCTGAACAGGTTGCCAGAACTCAACCACGCAATGCGTTGTGAACATCATTTGTTAAGAATGTCTAGCTTTGGGCTGCCTACATTAACGCATCCAACGCGATCTATCCATTGTACCGACGTACTTCCCCTCAACTTAACTCACCTTTGCAACTTGCGGTGTATTCATGTCGGCCCCCCACCACAGCCCCAAGTGGAACTCGCAACCCACCTGGGATTCGGACAGGGTATAAACAACACGACAGTGTTGTGAGGGTACAGAAGAAATATGTGTGTCCGCGCGAAGAGCGATGGCCATTTAGCGTTACGCCATTTGCGTTCCATGCGTTTCATACGCACGAAGACAAACCGCACACACACACACATACACACGGGAGGTGGACTTACCTACGTCCCTTGTTGCGGTGCTTTCCTCGACAACTACAGCGCAGAGGGTGCGCAACCAGCAAGCAAGCAACAACAGAAAAGCCAACAAATTTGCCGGAAGAACGCGTTGGAGCATCGCCCGCACAACGGAGACCACAGCGAAGAGGTGCGGCCGCCGTGCGACCAACAAAAGGTCCTGACCCGGCACACAACTACTCCTTGCGTCGACGCTCGCGTTTTCGAGCGCTTCATATTGCAGAGAGAGGGGGACTACAGCGCAGCAGCTCAGAACGTTCAACCGCGGACGATGTCCCGAAAAGTCCATGTATGCAGCGATCATGTTCAATCGGCGCCAAAAAGAAATGAAGTTCAACAACAAAGCGCGCCCAATGTCCATTTCCCATCGCGACTCCTCCGTTGACTTGTCAGATGACTCGTCACCCGACGCGCTAAAAAGAGGAGCCGAGACACAACGGTGGCGAGAGCTCAACATCGGGAGCTCCACATCGGTTCGTACTTCAGGCAGACAAACCTTCTGTGACTTTGTGTTGCGGCGAGCGCTCGGATCCGCGACACGTTGACACGCTCTCGGCTTCCCCCCCTGGCAGCACTTGATCCATACGGAGCTCCATCTGTTTCGCATGCGGGAGTTCTTTTCCTGCTTTTTCGTGAAAAGCTGGAGGGGGGCGGCGGCAACACATTCAGATGTCAGCAGCCGTCGGATGTCCAACATTAGAGGCTGCGCATGTCGCTAATCATAAGGCGATTACGGTGGACGAGACGAAAAAGCCGAGCCCACAGGCATCTTTCGCACACACCAACAACACATGGAAACACGCAACGTCACCTTTGTTTTATTCTCTCTCTTCAGGCTGAAGCCGCGTCCGGTCTTCGCCATCAACATCGCGACTGCGTTGTCCATGGTTTTCTCCCCAAAGTTGCCGGTCCCGTCTTCGAGGTTGGGGAACTCTAGTTTCTTTATCTCTTCTTCAAGGGTCGCGATCTCCCCTGTGCAAGCGAGTCAAACCCAGGTGCGCGCGGGTGAAAACATCGGAGCACGCGGATGAGTAACGTACCAACAAAACAACGTACCAACAACACGGCGAACCAACCTGCCATACCCATACGTTTATAGCCTGCCATACCTAGAGATGGGTCCCAGAGGCCTGCACCACCTGCAGGCGAGGGCTCGTCATCGCTATCTTCGCCTTCGGCGGCGTCGAAAGGAAGCCCAGCAGCTTCCTCCTCCCCACCAACATCGAGCGTCTCGTCCTCGCTACAAGCCAGCACCTCCTCCAGCTGCCAAGAGCTTGCCTCAGCCGCAGCGGAATCAACCTCCATCTGCTGTCGTAGACTGGTATGAGGCTGGTGTGAGCTGCTGAAGGGAACGCCGCTACTATCGCGTTGGCCGCCAGCCGTTGTTGCTGCGGCGGTGTGACCCGTTCAATTCAAATGAGGCGTTGTAGGGTGTGGTTCTGGGAGGCGTTTTCCAGCTGGAGAACCTTTTTATCTCGCCAGCTTTGGCGTATGCACGACCGGCGCCGGCCGGGAGCAGGGGGCTCCGCGGACAGAAGACCGAGGGAGAGAGGGATGAGGATGAGGACAGAGGAGCACACACGCACACACCACCAGAGAGGTGCAGCGCAGAGCGTGGGCAGCTATCGGTACGACGTGCGAACGAGAGCAGAACGATGGGTGCTGATCAATCGTGTCCGTGTAACGGCGACTCGAACGTGTACTTTCCTCCCGAGGACGGCGAGGACGGCGATGCCATCGTGGTGGCGAGGAAGGTTCCTAATAGTCCGACTACAGAGACATCCAATTCGTTGAGCGCGACGAGCCTCGAGAAGACGCCAGTCACCAAGGGCAAGTCCAGGAAGTGGGCTGCCCAGCCCAAGGATGCCTCTGTTGATGTGTCCGCCACCTCGACACAGCAGGTGAGCAATGTCTACTTTTGCAAATCCGGAAGATTGGTTCCCTCTTCCACACCCGCAGCAGTTTTAGAGAGAGAACTGCAGCACCGATCATTACAATGTAGATAAATCGTGCTACTTTTGGAGTCGGAGTCACATGCGCTCCCTAGAGGGAGAGCGGGGATGGCAGGGGGGATGCCTTTGATTCCAACTACAGTGCACCGGGGAAGCGCACATTTGGCCGCATCGCAAATATGCACTACCATAGACCATCATAGTAGCCACCTTTCAAAAGTGGGGTGGTGCGATCCTTCTGTATCTCGAACGGTAGTCTTTCTGTGGGATCTGTTTACTCGCTACAAAAGTAGAAATGGGCTGGCTCCCTTTCTGAAAATACCGTGCAGAAGTGGTGGATTTGTGCGGCAACAACATCTTGGGATCGCATATTTGACGCCCTTGTTGCCACCACTACATGCCCCGACCCTCTCGAGCACTGCGATTGCTTTCGCGAACTCTGGACTCAAGCGCGTCATTGCCAGTCCATTCTGAACCTTAATCGAAAAGACCCAACTTTTGGCGGCGGGATAATTTGGTGTTGTCTTGTACCCGTCATACTCATACATACGACTAGTCGGCGTCGCATTTTTTCCCTGTTAGTCGGCGTCAATTAGTCCCCAACATCGTCTCTGTTTTCACCACCTGTCTCCGGTGCACTGCTCCGTGTGTGCGTTGTCCAAAAAGCCATGACGAGAATCCAGCGCACCGCTCTGTCACCGATCATGGCAACACTGACGATGTCTGTCCTGTAGACATTGCTGTGGCGACGAGACAGTTGGTTGGGTGTTGGTTGCACTTGCTGTTCGTGGTCTCTTGTCCTGACGTAAGGCTTTCATCCATCAACTGTCGTCGCATTGGACCGCCATGGCATTGGATGGTCGGCTGGTGATTTACGGCTGGATATCCTCAACCATGTTTATGTTCATGTTTGTATCTGCGTCAATGGTTCGGCGATTGTAGATGGTTATGATGCGGGGTGTAAATCAACAGCTACCGTTGAGAGGCGGCTGGTTCCGGTGACACACTTTCTAGCCTCTTCAGGCGGCATGATTGGGTGGCGCACTTTTTAGCCTCAGCTCCTTCTGTCGGCTGTGAAGGGACTTCTTATCCCAGCGAAGCGACTTCGGCGATAAAGAGAGGCGAACCCCCGTCACAACCAGTGCAGGTGGAACAGAACTACGTGCAAACAGAGAGAGACAGCAGCACTGACGATTGACTTGGAGGCAAATATTGGCAACGAACATTCTGTAGGCTCGGATGGACCCATTTTTTCTGCGAACAAGGAAAGAGTGAACAGAGTGCCCCCGCTCTAATAGCGACCGTGTTGTGAAGACGACAACAACATGCCCTTCTGAACAAGCTAACCCAGCAGCTATCCTAGCACCGCCAACGTTTACCCTATAGCCCAAGAGCAGCATCCAAGTTGCCGTGGAAGGGCTCCGGGGTCTGGCTTGTTGTTGTTGTTGTTGTTGTTGTTGTTGTTGTTGTTGTTGTTGTTTTCTTGACATTAAGCTCGTTTGTCAGTTGCGCATCCCAAAATCTAGCAGGACTCGGTCCGTAGTCACAAAAATTCTACACAGAGCCATCAGAGTGGGTCAAGTCCGGGATAGCGTAGAGGTCCGTGTTTACTGCCGGGGTGTGCGCCGAAATCTCACCGGCACTAAACCGGACATCGGCAGTATTCAAACTACAGAACAACGACTTGGTATTCCAGTGTGTGCGAGCCGAAAACGCCGGCACCATACCGGCAACCGGCGCTATTCAACCGGCACTAAACAGGGACCTTTACTGTATTTCGATGCCCTACAGGCGCCCCTGAAAAGAAAGAACCGTGTGTGTAAATAGCAGACAACACATGGACCTACATACATCACACAGACGCTGGCCTTGGAGACCTGGGACACCGAAAGGGTTTTCCTTCTGAGGCTGAGTCTTACGGCGTGATTATTTCGGAGTTTTTTTTTTTTCTCTCGGTCGGGGGGGGGTGGCCTGCAGGGAAAAAATCATCAAGATCCAAACGACCGACTTACGGTTCCTCGAGGTATTTTCTGAAGGGAAAAAAGAGGCTGATTCGTGTTCTTGTGAGTCACAACATGCTTCAGTACACGGTTTGGGCTCGTGTGCGACCAACAAGACACCGAGCGCCCTGTTTATGGGTCGCCTGCAGAGGGCATGTGTATCATCGCACGCCAGTGGCTGCAGTTTGTGGATGTCGTCGGCCAAAGGCCTCTCGCTGATGGCATGCGTTGTACACTGATCATACTCGATTCGGAGCAAGCGGCAGGAAGAAAAAGCAACGTCCAAAAAAGGCAAGACCGAACCACACCTCGATTCACGTTTGCAGGCCGTGTGCAATCAAAACTGGACAATACGCTCTGTTTCTGGGACGCGAGCAGAGCGATTGTGTATGACCACACGCCACTGGCTGCTGTTTGTGAATGTTATCGGCCGAAAGCCTCCCTCTGGCATGCGTTGTGAACTGGTAGCGGGTGACACACGGAGCAAACACGCGGCGGAACAAGGAAAAAGACCAAAAAGTCAACACCGCAACACACTTTGGTTCACGTTTGCAGGCCGTGTGCAATCAAAACTGGACTATACGCTCTGTTTCTGGTACGCGAGCAGAGGGTTTGAGTATGAACACACGCCATTGGCTGCAGCTTGTGGATGTCGACGGCTTAAGGCCGCTCTCTGGCATGCGTTTTGAACTGGTCACACATGCAGCAGGCGCAAAAACGGCTCTTTTCGGCCCAAAGGCAAGAACGTCAGCAGAGCAATGTGGCAGGGTTGACGTTTTCGGCTCGTGTGCGGCCAACACGACGCAGAACGCCCTGAATTTTAGATACCTGTAGAGGGTTTGTGCATGACCTCATGATACTGGCCTCTGTTTGGCCAGCAGACGGTGTAGTTCCTCGTTCTGGCACGATCGGGGTGTGACCAGGGGGTACCCCCCCCCATTTCTAACAGCGATATTCCAACAGGATCGCTGTTGGAGAATGGGCCAATTTTCTAACAGGCCGGCCGAAATAGCTGTTGGAAACTGCGCTGTTGGATTTTGGGCTGTTGGAAATTGCCATTTTCCTACCCGCAAGACGCCCAAATTATTTTTTTGGCTCAGAAAAGGACCCCCCCCAAAAATCCAATGCGGAAATATTCACGCCGTAAGACTCAGCCTTAGTTTGTGTATTTTCACGAAAATATTTCAAGTTCGCGTGACAGTCATGCCGAGATTCGAACTAACTTCGAACTTGACGGATATCTGCATCATCCGGGACAACTGGCGGAAAGAAATACGTCCTATTTTCGAATTCCCAAAAAAGCCGTTGAGGCTGTTCGACAGCGTCGTTTGTCATCTCCCCGCGAGTACCTTATTTTCTGGTGGTGCGTGGTCCTGGGTCAGGCGCAAACGTTGTGCCTTGCGCACCCCCCAAGAAACGCGTCGGTTTTCCTTCTTCAGGCGCATGATCGTTTTTGCTCTTCCCGGGGGGGAGAGTAAGGGGGCGTGATTTTCATGGGACGCGGGGCTATGTATCGTCATCAACCCAGCAATATTTGCAACATAGTAACTCTTCCTGTCTAAGCCGTTTCACGCCCTCTGATTGGTCCGGCGTTGGTTCCCAGCCTTGACCCTCTCCAGCGCCCTCTCACCGTTTCGCATTCCGAGAACGCGGCACAGTCGCGTTCTCGGCCAGTTCGCGGCCGCTAGGCCGTCCTTTGGCCGTGGGTGAGGGTTAGGGTAGATGTGGGGTGAGGAACCTAGCCTTGCTCGCGTGAGGAACCTAGCCTTGCAAAGTGCAACATCGGTTAGACCTAAAGAGTCACTAAATAACAGAGTGTAAACAGACCTCCATCAACCTATCCGAGTGACGGGAGACGCGTCCACACGCTTGACCACCCTCGGATACACAACAAATGGCTAGATATTCCGTTATCCGTAAGGATGAAAGATGGCTGGCGTTCGTGGAGAGCACAGAATAACCGAGATCAACTTGTTGTGTTGATGTGCCTAGTGTGGGCGAAATGAATGAGAGATGGTGAAAAAATGAACGGTCGCAGCAGCCCCCCCAAGGTGCTGAGGGAAAGCGGCAGGGGAGGGTGTCCACGTGTGTTACTTTTGCTAAACGCAGGCGTGGGCGAAAGAGCCCCGTAGCACAGCACCAACTCTTCGCCAACATGTATGTAGTATGCCCCGGCCCCCGCCTCGTGCGCGCCTGCACAAGGCCCTTTAACGCTGAAAATGTCTACTTCCGGCGGGGGGACGATCTTGTGACGTTCGCTGTAATTCATTCTAGTACCTTGCACAGCAGTCATGTGCGTTGAGATCACCACCTGCACCGCCGCTGTGGTTTCGTTCAACATCATCGCACACATTGGGGTCATGGGACAGAGGGTGTGCGTCAAAAAGCACCCAATTTGGTGTATTTCGATTCCCGCACAGGTACAGTATGTATCGGTGTCGTCGCACAGCGCAACCGGTAGGTACAGTGACGGCCGATGGTCCGGTTTCCGCCGAAATTCTTGCGCGATGTGTAGTACGCGTAAAAATTGTGAACTATCAAAATAATAGACAACGATGTGTGAGTTAATACCCTCGTCCTCCCTCCCTCCGCCCCGTGCTGCTACGCGACACAACGGTAAAAAAACGAAAACGTCGACCTCAAAAAAAAAAAAAAAGCAGCACCCCGGTGACGAGACGCTTGGTGACAGCGGAAGTGTCGCCTCCCGAGGCGACTTCGACGGAGAGGGAGAGAGCGGGTTCCCCGACGGAAAGCCCAGCAGCTCGCGAGAGGTGAGTGGGCATGGAGCGGCCCTTCTCTCCTCCCACGTATTTAACGGCAAGATAGCCCTCGAATAGCAAGCAACACACGGGGGCGAAGTGCATGTCCACGCGTCCGAGAGGCCTAGACGTTGTGGGCCTGTATTGTCCAAGGAATCTTGGGTCTGGGTACATCATGTTGCTTCCCGTTGCTTGTCAGCGCGCCCATGCCGTTTCCGTGCTTTGGCGCGTAGGGTGCAATTGTATGCTTGAGCACCTGGGGTGACAAAAGATTCTCCGGGAAGCCATGTGACGTGATTCCATGCCTTAGGCATCTTGGTCCGGTCCTCCGTAGCCGCAACTTCTTCGACTTTCGGTGCATCTCCAGCGTGTCATACTAGCTGTTCGTCCATACGGGATGACCCCATTCGTCTCGCATGACGAACAAACTACTAACACAACTCCGTTTCTTTCCGCCTTGGTGTTGGGGCTGTGGTCCCTCCGCCCCCGGGACTGCTTTCTTGACGGGCTTGCTCGTGTCCTGCGTCCACGCGCACGGCGTAACGACGGGTCTTCCCCTTCAGTCGTGAGTTTTGCTGGCGGTAGTGACTTGATTGTAGTTCGGTCGTGAGGCGTGTTTTTTTACCGTCTTGTGGATGGGTTTATCGAGCGCTTTGGTTGTTGGGTGTGGTATTTGTGGTGTTGGGTGTGGTATTTGTGGTGTTGTAGAATTGTTTGATCCCGCTTTCCGCCGGACTCGGTTGTTTGTTCATGTTTGCTTGAGATTGTAGTCTAAACGCAGTCGTTTTCCTTTTTTCTCACGGTGCTTGCCATCGATTGCGCGTGTTTCATCTTATCGTTGTTGCGCTCTTTTCTTTTTTTTGTTCCTCACTGGGGAATTTTTCAGTGCGCCCTCGCCGGTAGTCGAAGACCAGGCCACAATTGCTCAACGCGCCAAGCAGGAAGCGCACAACGACCGCATCGTGGCCACTTTCAACAGCGTGAGTGCTGGTTGCGTTTGAGTTGTTCTGCTGCTGTTCCAACACTTGGATGTAAGGTCAAGTGTCTCAGCAGGGCAGCGTGGGTGTTGGTTGCATTTTGAGAGCTCATGGTTGGTGCCTGTACTTGTTGTGTGGTTCACAAGTGCAGCTTTGTGTTGGTCTTTTCCCTGTTTTGATCGAAGAGTTCTGCTGGAAGCCTTGGGCAGAAGACAAACGGCGAGATATTGTTGGGGAGGTAGCCTTATGTGTGCAGGGGCTGCACGACCCATTGTACCTGCGAAGCTCACCATGCCGGACGAAGCTCCTTGCGCAACCTCCGCGTGTTCGCTGACACCGAAGTAGAGTTCGTGCCGTGCATAACAACCCACGATTTTCTTCCGGCAACGTGAATAGTATCCGTGAATGTGCTGCAGGCGGCGTGAAGGCTTCAAGAGCTGTGTAGCGACCTCCGCGGCATCCCCACGAAAAGTCGTTAGTAATTGTTGCGAGCTCTCCCGTTCTACACAGGCGACGGATGCAGCACCACCGGCCGGCCTCTCAGCTTAGAGATCCACCTCCTCCCCACCGAAGATTATTTTCTTGCATTGCCTGACCCCCCGTCCCCCGTCCCCCGTCCCCCTCTCTCCCCAACTACCCGTGGGTGGCATGTCTTGCCTACGACCTTGCGTGTGTCCGTCTGTGCCTGCAACGACACACTCCATTCGTGCGCAGGTCATGCTCGCCGACGGCCTGAAGGTGCTCAAGCACCACCGCCGCAGCTCCAAGAAGGCCGCGAGCCGCGTCATCCGCTTCGTGCCCGACTACGGAGGGGCCCTTGTGTGGGACAAGCCTCTCCGTCAGCCCGGGGCCAAGGCTAGCAGGGTCCCGCTCGACGCCATCACCCAGGTCGAGCTCGAGGTGAGGTTTACTATGCATTGTTTTGTGTCACCGCTTCCACCTCCTCAAGCACACACGGGGTATACACGTTCTACTCAGATATGTTTCAAAATTGCAGGGAAGTTGTTTGTAAACCGTTCATCGCCTCGAGCGAGCAGATGTCCGATGAAGCGAGGGTCATGAAAGCGTTGCTACGAAAGCAGCGCAAGGTGCGCCATCTTGAACCGAGAGCTATGGGAACACTTGACCAGTGCTTCCATCGTCCGAGAGATGAGGCTTTGTGGTTGCGCATGTCGATGTCGATCGAGTCCTGGCGGTGCTCATGTATCCTTATGTGCGTATGCAAGATGTTTTGGAATAAACCGCGGAATCAAGAAAATACGCCCGATCTTGGCGTCTCACAACATCAAGTTGTCTTGACGGAAATCTTTACTTGGGGGAAAGGCGACGAAGTACTATTGTCACAGCAGTCGCTAACGTCTTTTCCTCTTCTCTGGCAACTCGCTTGGTCTCGTGAACTGCGGCGTGCGTTGCCTCGTTTCTCCGGTGACCCGAGAAGGCGCGCATCGTGTGGATCTCGGCGGGTGACGAGCGCGTTGGCTTCGAAACGTCCAAGACGGAGGACGCGGACCTCATGTACCAAGCGATTTGCATCCTTGTCGATAGGTGCCACGCGTGAGCACATCTCCAAGTCGTGTCGAGGGAGGGAGGGGAGGAAGTGGGATAAAAAGCCTGGACCAAAAGTCTGGTTCATAGAGAAGGGGCGCCGCTGTGCCTCTTGAACGGCACAAGAGGCATCACGAGGGAGCAAGGCGCGCTGTTGGAGAGGTCGCGGTTGGATGAGTTGAAGAGTCGCTGCCGCCGGTAGTTCAATGGCCATGAGTCTGCCGTTCATCCAGTGCCATGCTCGTATGGGTTGTGGTGCGTGTCGGGGGGGGTACGCCGGATTGTTGCAGCACCTGGCAGTGTTTTTGTGTAAATTTTGAGGCAGCGAGGCGCACAAGGGAAAACCGTTTTTTTTGTTAGTGTGACATGTACCCAGGGCATATTTTCGAGAGAAGACATGAAAAAACAACACACGCTTTGCTCTCTCGCTGGACTGTGTACTGTATTGCTCGCGTGCCCATGCTTTTTGCCGCTCCTTGTGTTTTTAACGCAAGCAACTGCTGCTGTGGGTGGTGCGTGGTTGGTAGTGTCGAACCCCCGTTGGTCGTTTTTCGTCGTCAGCGCCAAGCAGCAGCACCGACGCGTTTTGCCTTCTTTTTTTTTCTGGATTTCTTGAACGTTTTCGTGTTTTCTCCGCCTTGTCGCTTCTCCGCGAGTGGCATCAGGCGTTTGTGTCTGTCATGTATGCGACAACTCAGGGCGGCCGCCGTAAGTCGGGCTCCTCTTGGGTCAACCTGTTCTTATTCTTTCGTTCGTCGCCTGCCTTCCACAACAACGATATATTCCAAATGCTGATTTGAGTTGTCAACAGTTTCTCGTCCGGCGCGCAGACAATGAATGACTGGTTGGGTTTGTGCCTTGTGGGTCCGTACATCACGTCGCTGTTGCTGTCGCTGCTAGCTTGCTACCACAACAACCGCAGTCAGTCTGGAGGCCCTGTAGACTACTGCAGTACCAGTACATGTAGTATGGATCGCCCGTACACGAAAGAGTCGAGTTTGTCCTTCAACGGTCCTTCCGATCGTCTGGGTCGCTAACAGCGCTCACAGGCAGCTCCAGCACGGCATAGTCTACAGCCTTCTTCCCGTTGTAGGCTGGGAATGAGCTTGAGGTCCACACAATCAACGAAGACTCCGTGACCTTCCCACCCAACACAAAAAACAACCTAAAATATCGGTTTACAGAGTACCGCTATCGTTGGACATCGACAAAAGTTGATTCCACGTACACGCGCAACGCGCTTCCAAGCAAATAATACTTAGAGTCTAGCGTTGTTTTCCAATGCAAACGGCACAACGTTACACACTGCTGCACCCACAGCACATGTGCATCATCCCTACGACATAGGCATTTAGGTCATATGCGCGGCGAAATCGGGAAGATCCATCCCTACGATCACAGGATTCCTCCCATCCGGGTGCCCCCCTCTGTTCGAGAGGGCGCTACAGCCAAGAGCCAGCCAGCCCAGCCACCAGAGCGGTGACAGGTTACTCAAAGCAGTCACAAAGCGACTAATCGCCGCTATATTGTGCGGTGTGCTGCGCTGCCCTCCATTTGGCGCTGCTAGCCGACCATTTAGGGGGGTACTGCGCTTGAAAAGGAGCCTGTGGATTGTGGATGATCCCCGAAAGAGAAAGCGGCTCATCTTGACATTTCAAATTCGTGACCTTTTGAGCTCATGGCGTCTATCCACAAGCTTTCCATCCGCGGCATCAGAAGCTTCAGCCATGAGCGCGAGCAGGTGCGGTCTGGTCTCGTGTGGTTTGCTTGAAGGTGTCACTGAGTTGATTCGTTATTTGGTGTGTTTGTCCGCAGAAGGGGCGAACAGTCGAGTCCTCGGTCTTGATCATGATGTGCTGCAAATTTGCAACAATTTGAAAACATGATTTTGCACTTCAAAATCAAGGTGTTCCTCGGGCGTGTTGCTCCATAACATACACCTCCGTCTTTTGTGTGCGCCCTCGGATTGCACACACATAGGGTGTGTCTAGTTCCTTTGAGGCTTTGCTATTCCATGTGGACAATGATCATCGTCTTGTGTGCTAGCCTACAAAAATAGAGACAGACAGGCAGCAGACCCCCAGCATCGAAGCAGCAGCCAACATCCTCGATGTTTGTAAAAGCCTCCTTGATGGCGTCTGCTCTGACTGCTGTGCCTCCTGGACGAACAAGAGTTTTGGGAGACACCCAATCGTTCTCTTTTGTCGCCCCTTTGCCCACAGCTGTTACTACTTTACTCTGCTGAAATCCTTGACATTGTATTGATATGTTCCGCTGCGCCCTGTCTGTTTCGGCAACCCGAATGATTTTTGCCTCAACCCAAATGATGTCGCCCGTGCCACTATTTAGAAGTGGGTTTTGGACGGATGGAGAGGAATAGTAGGTCCTGTTCGTGTGACTGTGAAGAAACCTTGTCTGATCCCACCCGCCGGTTCATCCTGACACCGGGGAATAAACCATCGGATTGAAATCCTTTGAAACGTAGCGGCGGAATCAAGAGGGTCGGGACAAGCATCCAAACACTCGCCACGTTCAACCCGGTAATTGTATTAATCCGTACTATTGGGAGCCTTTCATCGGCCATTTCCTCCGCAGGGATCCATTTTCGATCTAACCTACAGGATACCAAACACGAATCGCCTTTCATCGGTTATTTCCTCCGCAGGTATCCATTTTCGATCTAACTAACCTACAGGATACCAAACACGAATCTTCCTCCTCGAAACAAGCAATGGCTAGCATACAGCACAATTCCGTTGGGCACGCAACCGATATGTTGTGAGGTACTGTTATATTCGAGACGCGAGTCAAGCTCAGAACGCGACTGATCCAACATATGGTCGATAACGGGATGCTTGAACTCCGCATGCATGCCCCTCCTGTTTGTCGAACGCCCAAATCGATTTGGCCTCACGCTTTTTTTCCCTCCCCGCAACCCCCTCCCCACAACAAACACAAACACCCATCCTTTTAACGACAAATGAGCGGACTCTCCAGGGGCCGAAACGCTCGCCAGAGCAACATTCAACAAACGTCAATATTTGTGGGGCGGGGGCGGGGATTGATCGTGTTAGGGAGGAGGCTTGAATGTGGGCTTACCCTCGGGTTGCTTTCGCTTCAGTGGCGATGCCCTGGAGAGCGCGCTCATTGCTATTGACAGGGTTCGGTGTGTCTCTCTCGCGGGGCGGGAGACCGTGTGACAATGTCGGGAGCTCGGGAGGCTAAGAGAGCCATTGCCTATTGCCCCAAATCTCCGATGCCTTAGCCGAGACTCTGTTTGGAGCCGCCGCAAGGCTTGATGACAGGTTCGGTCGCTCATTAACGTTGCGCAGAGTGTGGCTTGTCGAAACTCAATCCTGAAGCTACTCCATGGACAGCAGCGTTGGCACATGAGAGACAGGCGGGAGTCCCGGAAGGATGGCGAAACAAATATGTACTAGTACATACAGACCGATAAGACCAGCAGACAGACAGACATCCGCCAACCCGGAAGCGAACACGCGTGAGAACCAACACGGATACGAAAAACCGTTTGTATATCGCTTTTGGCTCGAAAGAACCTTCAACACGAGGCTTCCCGCTTCCGCCTACAACTTTCTCTTTTGCTGCCAGCGCTCTGTTGAGGCTTGTCACTCGTCAATTCAGTTCCGACCTGAGGCGTGCTGTTTCCGCTGCCGCTATCTGCTGCGACTCTTGCAGATTGTCCCGATACACACCATAATATTTTTGGACCCCAACAACGTCCTGCTCTAGAAAGACCGCGCCACGGTGATTACGGCTGTGCCTGTACACCCATGTCAATACCTCCATCCCGCCCAGACGAAAAAGACATACCAATGCCTTTCTGAAGCACGCTAGGGCCTGGCTCCGATGACAGGTGATCGAGTTCTACACGCCCCTGACGATGATCGTCGGGGCGAACGGCTGCGGCAAGACGACGATTATCGAGTGCCTCAAGTACGCGTGCACGGGCGCGCTTCCCCCCGGTGCGCGCAACGGCCAGTCGTTCGTCCACGATCCCAAGGTGAGATGCTTGAATGGATTTGAGTGTTTGTTTCTCTGGTTTTCTTGTTCTTGTGGTAGATGTCGGGGATCTGACCCGCGTGTGACTGCCCCGGACGCGCACCTAGCCGGTCGCTCGTTTGTTCCTTCGTTGATTGATGCCCTACATGTACGAAGAAGGAAGGGGGGTGCGCAGGTTCGGAGAGGGGTTAGAGCGCCGTTCCTTTTCCCGTGAGTATCAGGCTGTGGCGATGTGAACTTGTTGCGTGAAAGGTGGAGCGTTTCGTGTCTCGCAAACTGTTTGCCTGCTTCCTTGCTGGGATACCACTTTCCACCTCGTCTTCGACGGGGGCAGAGTTTTCAACTACATGCACGCCTGCCTCCCTCGGTTGTGTTGACAGCGGTACTACAGTACGACATTGGCGCAAGAATCCGAACGTGTGCAATCCTCCCGTGTCGCACCACCTTCACGTTGCAGTGTTACCCAGGATTGCCGTACTAGATTTTTGGTTGTGGCACGTCATGCGCGACGTGTAGTACGTACCAACCTTTGCGGCTGCGAATGCCTTTGTTCTGCTGCTGCTGTTGTTGATGTGTCTTGTGTCATGGCACAGGTGTCGGGTACGAACGAGGTGAAGGCCAACATCAAGCTTCGTTTCTCGGCGAGAGACAAAACGGTGAGTACCTGCTTTTTGTTTTTGTAGATGAAAGACGCAAAAAAAAAAATGCGTAGTATTTGCAAATACCTATCCTTGTTTTTCGGTGTTTGCTTGTCTTGCTCATGCATGAGAAGCACCGTCCAACACTCGAAATCTTGTTCTCTTTCCCTTTGTTTATTTTAGCGAACGGAGTTCTCGTTGGTCCAAAGAGAGAACCTGCTGTGCTATGTTGTGTGGCAAAAAATTCCCTAAAGCACCACCTCCTTGATCTGCGCCTGCCCTCTCTGTGTCCCTCTGTTTTCACCCCGCTCTGTGGAAATCCTATGAACCATTGACCAGGTGGGTGTTGTGATCCGGTCCTTCCAGCTAACCCAAAAGCGGAAGACCCTCCAGTTCAAGGCGCTAGATGGCGTCATCAGGTAACGTCAGTGGTCTAGGGGCACCGTGGTTGACGCGAGGTCCCCCCCCGTGGGTAATTTGATTTCTTCCTTCGGATTGCTCCGCAACTAGCAGAGGGATAGATCATCTCGATGGGTCAAAACGCGTGTGAAAAGGTTCGTCGCCAAGCCCTTTCTATACCGTTTCAAGTTGTGTCCAGAACGCGGGTCTTGCTTTGGTAACAGGCTTTCCTATAAGAAGGGCCCCGCTGCTGTGTTGATACCGTCCATGTCCCCGTGTGGCTCTGCAACTAGTACGTTGGAACTCATGCGAAGCAGGAACTTCAGGGTCGCGGGCGAGATGACTGTTGGTGCGCGCGTATGTGCGCGTTTGTTTGTGTATGATATTTTTTCCAGGACAAAGAACGAGTCCGGCCAAAGCGTGAGCATCAACCACAAGTGCACGGAGATGGACAAGCACGTGAGAGTGTATGTTGGTGTTTTAGTATTATTAGCATCGACCGCGCTAACCGGCTGACCAATGAAAATACGTCAGTCTCGGTGCGGCTGAAAGCACAAAACACTTCTAAATGCCAATAAATGGGACCCCGTGAGGGGGCGGCGTGGGGGAGGCTGAGCTATTCTCCGGATCAAGGACAGAAACGGTAGAAAAAGAAGAAAACTGCACGTGTCGATGAAGGTGCTGTGTGTGTGTGTGTGTTGCCCCGCGTGGTTAGGTCAACGATGTTGTCACCATCGTCGTCGTCGTACTCCTCGTGCCGTTCGAGGTGGGATCGTTAGTGATCTTGTCGTCGTTTTTGTTTGTTTTGTGCCATGTGTTTGTCAAGCACGCATTCGAAGCGGATAGAGGTTGCCGTGACTTGACGGAGCGGATAAACAAGAGGGCCGGGCTTAAAAAGTCGGTAGGGTTGGTGGTGGGGTTTCGTGTTATTAGTCGCTCTTGATATGGGAGGCAACAATTTATGGTCATGGTGGATGATAAGGTGGGGGGTGGGGGGAGCGAG